GAGCGACCGAACCTTGCGGCGAAAGCAGGGGCGGACCGAGCCTACTTGTAGTAATGTCGTCGCTGGGGTGTAAGTGGAGGGCGGATTTTGTGGCGGCTTTTCCAACGGGTGGTTCTGTATGAAAACACCAAATTGTGAAGTTGTGCCATTTTTAAACTCTTGCATTGTGAGCTGCAATCTTTTTGCTACAACACGTATTGAAACGATTTTAATTTTTTAATTTTCATTAATAAATATAAGCACCCTATTTGAACAAGCACCAATGAATAGTGAGGTGCTTAAACTTCCTTATACTATGTATGTAGGTAAGCGAAGAAAAATGTTGTTGTCTCGGTGGGAATCGAACCAGACGCCCCCCGCTTGCCGGGCAGCTATCCTGACCACTATACCACGAGGACGCTTATCTTTCTTCGCTTACTACTACTTATGATTGTGTCGGCCCATATACTTGGTAGTCGTGAAATTACCTAAAGAACGTTTTGAGTTAACTTCCAAAAATAACCTATTTTGGCGTAATTTTTATGATAATAAGATATTCAAGGTCCGACAACTTCGAGATTGTAAAAATAAGTCAAGAGTCAATAAGTAAACAACGTAACCGACTTCAGAAATGTTGACATTTTGAGGTTATGTTAATAAATTTAACCTAAAAAATTATGTCAACTTAACAGCTAAGTAACTTAAGTCGGTGCAATATCCCCAACCAGAAGCTTAGATATTTTTCAAAATCTCCCCAAATCGAATTTTTTTAGTTTCGCCCTCATCCATCCCCCTTTCTAAACTTTTTCATGGGATAGAGGGGTATTATATAATTCTAACCAGCAATCAGTTCTGGATTATTTTTAATTCAGAACAAAAGCAGAGAAGTTTTGAAATTAAGCCCCGCCTCCTGGCTCACGAGGAATAAAAAAAATCATCACAATTGAGATAGGGTGGGTGGGCGGGGCATATATTTGTTTTTGTTTCTTAATATAAACAGTTTTTTCACAACAAGAAATTTACAACATGTTTAAAAATGGTAAATTTTTGCAGTGAAATATGGATTTTGCAATTATGCTCCGCCTCTTGATGTGACAACGAATGGAAAGTTCATCATAATTAAAATAGGAATGGGTATAGGTGGGGCTTACTTTTTGGCTTCCTTTTTTTATTTGATAATTATAGTTTTCTTTGAACATAATTTTGTAAGAACATGTTTCAGATGGTAATTTCTTGTAGAAAACTAAGAATTTTGCAATTAAGCTCCGCCCCCTGGCTCACGACGAATAAACAAAATCATCACAATTGAGATAATTTTGCATTTTTTTTCCTACATATAGGTAGTTTTTTTCACAACAAGAAACTTAAAACATTTTTAAAATTGTAAATTTCTTCAGGGAAATATGGATTTTGCACTTAATCTTCGCCCTTCGGTGTGACAATGAATGAAAAATTCATCACAATTAAGATAGGGTGGGTGGGCGGGGCATATATTTTGTTTTTCTTTTTCTTAATATATGTATTTTTTTTACTACAAGAAACTTAAAACATGTTTAAAATGGTAAATTTTTTCAAGGAAATATGGATTTTGCACTTAATCTTCGCCCATTGGTGTGACAACGAATGAAAAATTCATCACAATTAAGAGAGGGTGGGTGGGCGGGCTTACATTTTGTTGTTTTGTTTTAATATGTGTAAACTTCTTTTCACAATATGGAACTTAAAACATGTTTTAAAAAGAAAATTTGTGTATAGAAATATCGACTTTGCCTCATCTGTATCTACTTGGTGAATAAACTTTAAATTAAATTAAATAATTGGAAAATTTATGTTTCCTTGCAAAAACCATTTTAACCATGTTTTAAGCTTCTTGTTATGAAAAGATCGCTGTGTATATTAAGAAAAAAAGGCAAAATATAAGCCCCGCCCACCCACCCGATTTCAATTCTGATAATGATTTTTTTATTCATCGTAAGCCGAGGGGCGGAGCTTAATTTTAAAATCCTTATTTTTCTACGAGAAATTACCATGTGAAATATGTTCTTAAGCAATCGTGTTATACAAAGAAAACTAATTAAAAAAGACAATCAAAAGAGAAACTCCACCCATACGTTTTTTCACAATCCTTATAACACGTTTAGAATGATAAATTTTTGCAGGAAAATATGGATTTTGCAATTAGGCTCCGCCCCTTGATGTGACAACGAATGAAAAATTCATCCCAATTGAGATTGGGACGGGTATAGGTAGGGCTAAATTTTTGGTTTCCTTTTTACTTGATAATTATAATTTTCTTTGAACACCATTTTTTGAAAACATGTTTCAGATGGTAATTTCTTGTAGAGAAATAAGAATTTTGCAATTAAGCTCCGCCCCCTGGCTCACGACGAATAAACAAAATCATCACTATTGAGATAATTTTGCATTTTTTTTTTCTACATATAGGTAGTTTTTTTCACAACAAGAAACTTAAAACATTTTTAAAATTGTAAATTTCTTTAGGGAAATATGGATTTTACACTTAATCTTCGCCCTTCGGTGTGACAATGAAAGAAAAATTCATCACAATTAAGAGAGGGTGGGTGGGCGGGGCATATATTTTGTTTTTCTTTTTCTTAATATATGTAGTTTTTTTTACTACAAGAAACTTAAAACATGTTTAAAATGGTAATTTTTTTCAGGGAAATATGGATTTTGCACTTAATCTTCGCCCTTCGGTGTGACAATGAATGAAAAATTCATCACAATTAAGATATTATATATTTTGTTTTTCTTTTTCTTAATATATGTATTTTTTACTGCAAGAAACTCAAAAAACATGTTTAAAATGGTAATTTTTTTCAGGGAAATATGGATTTTGCACTTAATCTTCGCCCTTCGGTGTGACAATGAATGAAAAATTCATCACAATTAAGATAGGGTGGGTGGGCGGGGTATATATTTTGTTTTTCTTTTTCTTAATATATGTATTTTTTTACTGCAAGAAACTTAAAACATGTTTAAAATGGTAATTTTTTTCAGGGAAATATGGATTTTGCACTTAATCTTCGCCCTTCGGTGTGACAATGAAAGAAAAATTCATCACAATTAAGATAGGGTGGGTGGGCGGGGCGTATATTTTGTTTTTCTTTTTCTTAATATATGTAGTTTTTTTTACTACAAGAAACTTAAAACATGTTTAAAATGGTAATTTTTTTCAGGGAAATATGGATTTTGCACTTAATCTTCGCCTTTCGGTGTGACAATGAATGAAAAATTCATCACAATTAAGATATTATATATTTTGTTTTTCTTTTTCTTAATATATGTATTTTTTTACTGCAAGAAACTTAAAACATGTTTAAAATGGTAATTTTTTTCAGGGAAATATGGATTTTGCACTTAATCTTCGCCCTTCGGTGTGACAATGAATGAAAAATTCATCACAATTAAGAGAGGGTGGGTGGGCGGGCTTACATTTTGTTGTTTTGTTTTAATATATGTAAACTTCTTTTCACAATATGAAACTTAAAACATGTTTTAAAAGGAAAATTTGTATAAAGAAATATCGACTTTGCCTCATAATTGCAAAATTCATGTTTCCTTGCAAAAACCATTTTAACCATGTTTTAAGCTTCTTGTTATGAAAAGATGACTGTGTATATTAAGAAAAAAAAGGCAAAATATAAGCCCCGCCCACCCACCCGATCTCAATTCTGATGATTTTTTTTATTCATTGTAAGCCGAGGGGCGAAGCTTAATTGTTAAATCCTTATTTTTCTACGAGAAATTACCATGTGAAATATGTTCTTAAGCAATCGTGTTTTAGATGAAAACTATATGCATTAATTAAAAAAGACAACAAAAAGAGAAGCTCCACCCATCCGTTTTTATGGATTTTGCAATTAGGCTCCGCCCCTCGGTGTGACAAGGAATGAAAAATTCATCACAATTGATATCGGGGAGGGTATAGGGGGACTTAATTTTTTAAGAATATGTTTCTGATGGTAATTTCTTGTAGAAAAATAAAAACATGGCAATTAAGCTCTGCCCTCTGGCTGACGACCAATAAACAAAATCATTACAATTGAGATAGGGTGGGTGGGCGGGGCATATATTTTATGTATATATTTTATTCTTAATATAAGTACTTTTTGTAGAGAAATATCGATTTTCGAATTAAGCTACGAATGAACGGTTAGCAATTCTCTAGATTTCCCTGTCAAGGTAAATTACTTTGAAAAAACAGAGTCTCTCCAACTATAGCAGATAATCACAAACATTTTTAGGATCCAACTTTTTAAACAACTTTTTTGAGAAAAGTAGAAAAAAAAGGCAAAATGGATAAAATTTCGAGTTTTTTTTTAACGAACTTTTGGAAGAAAACACTTAATTTGTACTTTTTTCTTAACATAACGATTTCGAGGGTAAATTAGGCTATTTTTGAAAGTTTGCATATCTCAAGCAATTTTTTTCTCCAAGAAAATGATCAACTTTCTGAGATCGACAGTGTTGGTACACTTGCCAACTAAAAATCACCAAAATCAGTAAATTATGACAAAAATCGATATTTCTCTACAAAAATTTACGATTTTAAACATGTTTTATGTTTCTTGTTTTGAAAAGAACTACATATATTAAGGAAATTAATACATATACAAAATATATGCCCCGCCCACCCACCCTATCCCAATTGTGATGACTTTTTTTTATTCGTCGTGAGCCAGGGGGCGGAGCTTAACTGCAAAATTCGTATTTTTCTACACGAAATTACCGCCTGAAACATTATATTCAAAGAAAACTATAATTATCAAGTAAAAAAGGAGCCAAAAATTAAGCCCCACCTATATCCGCCCCGATCTCAATTTTTCATTCATTGTTACACCGAAGGGCGGAGCTTAGTTGCTAAATCCACATTTCCCTGCAAAAATTTACCATTTTAAACACGTTTTAAGTTTCTTGTAGTAAAAAAAACTACTTATATTAAGAAAAAAATACAAAATATTTGCCCCGCCCACCCACCCTGTCTCAATTGTGATGAATTTTTCGTTCATTGTCACACATAAGGTACTTATATTTATTATGAAAGCACACTTCTTAGGCAGTAGAATAAAATTACAATGATTTCTTCAATACGTGATATAGAAAAACAGTTACAGCCCATAATAGGATTTTGAAAATGGCAAAACTTCAGATTTCTAAGGGCTGCCAATCCAAAGTTAAGTATCCAAAAAAATAAATAATGACGATTTTTTTCATATTGGTTACCCAAAAAATGATCCCGAATTGTTTTCATCGAAATCAAAAATCATACGGCGTACCTACTTTTTTAATCAAACTTGGTGTTTTCATATAGAACGACCCAACTTTTTATTTTGAACTTCCATGTAACTATGACTATTCATTTTAGAAGAATTTTCAATTATTTTTGAAATTGTGGACAAAAATCCGCCCCTCAGTTAACCCGGCTACCGCACCGTACTCGGCTATTTGGCACAGACGTAAGTAAGAAAATAGCAGGAAAAGAGAAAGTCTTGTACTCTAGTAAAGAACCCAGTGTGTGTCGGGCGCGTCCGCCCGCCCCCGGCGCTCTCGCGCTCCGCCCTCGGCCCCGCCCTCCGCGCCCAAAAAAATATAAACATGAACACATTTTCCATCCACCCTTAAACCTGACACGGAACGGTGGGCATCTCGGCCAGAGTCAATTTAACTACGGTGAGCTCTTTGCGTCAAGCCGCCAGAGTGCCCGCGTTGCACGCCACCACCGGCACCGTCTGGCACGCCATCGTCGCCATGTTGTTGATGCCGCACGCCTTCAGCTCGGTGAAGATCTCGGTGAAGTAGCCGGGCTCGGCGTTGATGCGCAACATGTTGGACGAGAGTCTGTTCACTATGTCTAAACAACGGTCCCAGAACTTCTCCTTGGAGTCCTCGACCAGGAACGGCTTGAGGGGGTACGAGATCTCGTTGCCCATGTACGAGTACGAGAGGTAGAGGCAGGTGAGGACGACGGCTTGGAGGTCCTGCTCGCATTCGATCTCTTCTTCGACGAGGTCGCGGACCAGCATGTACACGAAGACTACGTTGGCGGGATTTATGAAGGCCACGTCCTGGAAAACGTGATGCTTTCAGAAACATATAGATACATGCTTAGAGAAAAAAACTGGCGACCAGCTAGACCTCTTATACTGTACCAAAGTGCTGAAGTAATTCTGCTTCTAATAACCGTTAGTATTGAATCAAAGTAGAATTTTAGTCTTTCGTTGTAGTGTCCAGAAGTTTTTATACCTGTTTAGCAGAGCATTAATTTATGAACCCGTGCCGACCAATCACAACAAAGCAAATTTGATTGAATATTCATTTATTGCGTCCATACTGTTTATTGATGTTTTTAAAAATTTTAAAGATTCTCAATTTTTCAATTTTACGATTTCTGAATTTTTTTATTTTTATTTTGTAATTTTTGGATCTGCAATTTCTGAGTACTCAGTTGTAAAACTTCAATTTTTAGGTTTTTCAACTTCTCAATTTTTCAGTTTTTCGAACACCCAGTATTAGTTTTTCGATTTTCCAGCATTTGGTTTTCTAATTTTTCGATTTTTCGATTATTAAAATTTTTCAATTTTTGGATTTTTCAGTTACAGAATTTAGCAATTTCCCGAGTTTGATTTGCAATTTCTCGAATTTTAACTTTTCGATTTTTATTTTGCAATTTTAGATACTTTAATTTGTTTTTTTCAATTTTTCAATTTTTAATGCTTTAATTCCTCGTTTTTTTATTTTTTTTGCAATTTTACAGATTTTCAATTTTCAAGTTTTGAACTTTTGAATTTGTCAATTTTTCCTTTTTTCTTATTTTCGAATTTCTAATTTCACAATTTTGTGATTGTTAGATTTTTTAATTTTGCAATTTTTCTATTATCAACTTTTCCATGTATTCAATGTTTCGATTTTTCCGGCTTTTCGATCTCCACTCAATTTTACATGTTTATTTTGAAAATTTTTGTTTTACAATTTTTATATATTTTAATTTTGATTTCTTGAAATTTTCGAGTTTCAGTTTTTTTTTCAATTTTCCGCTTTACTTCAATTTTTGGCGCTTTTGATTTCAAAGTTTTTGCAATTTTTCAATTTCACAATTTTTCGATGTTTCAAGTTTTAGACATTTTAATGCTTCCTTTTTTCAATTTCCAATTTTTTATTCTGGTTATTTTTCAGTTTTACGATTTTGCAGTTTTTCCTTTTTTCAGTTATGAGATTTTTTTTTAGTTTTTCAAGTTTTCAAATTTTCGATTTTCCTATTTTACAATTTTTCGATTTCATAATTTTTTCATTTCTGAACATTTCAATTTTCATTAGCGTCTGTATATTGTTGCTTCAGTTTTTCGATTTTCCAATTTCACAGTTTTGAATTTTTCAATTTTCCAATTTTCCAATTTTTCGGTTTTTCAATGTTCCAACTTTTAGATATTCTAGTTTCCTTTTTTCAGTTTTGTGATTTTTGTTTCTCGATGTAAGTTTTGTAAATTTTTCGATTTCTCAGTTTCACGATTTTTGAGTTTACAATTTTTTAATTCAAGATTTTCCATTTCCTCGGTTTCTGAATTTTTTAATATACACTTTCTTTAATTTTTCGATCTACAATTTTTCTTGTTTTCAATGCTACCAGCAATTATTCTATTTTTCGATTCCACAGTTTCGTAAATTTTCCAATTTTACAATGTTTAGATTTTATATTTCAATTTTTAGATGTTTTAATGCCGTTTTTTTCAGTTTTTCTCGTTTGTGATTTTTCGTTTCTCAATTTTTAATATTTCAACTTTTCAAGTCTAAATTTCCTCAATTTTAAGATTTTGAAATTTTTTGATATTTCAATTTTTAGACTTTTCTTTATATTTTTCAGGATTCAGTTTTTCAATTTTTTGATTTTTCAGTTTTTAGATATTTTGATTTTTTGTTTTAATTAAAATTTCTTCTTTAAATTTTTTTATTTGCAATTTGTCTAGTTTTTTACTTGTTAATTTTTTCAAATTTTCGATTTTTAGTGTCTCTAGTTTTTATTTTTCAATTTTTCAATTTTTCGTTTCTTCAGTTTTTAAATATCTTAATTTTTGTTTTTTTGTGAATTCTCGTTTCACAGTTTTAATTTTTCGATTCTTCAAATTTTGAGTTTATAAAGTTTTCAATTTTCTGATTTGTCGTTTCTTCAATTTTACGCTTTTATAATCTTTCCATTTTTTAAATTAACAATTTTTTGAAATTTCAATTTTTAAACTTTTGTTTATATTTTTCAGTTTTTCAGTTTTAAAATTTTGTAAATAATTCTCTAATTTTTCATTAGACGATTTTTAATTTTTGGATTTTTTAAATTTTGATTTTTTTTTCGTTTCTTCAGTTTTACGATTTTGCAATTTTGCAATTTTTCAATTTTTAAATTTCTCAATATTACAATTTTTCGATTTTTAGATAATTTAAGTTTTCATTTATTCAATTTTTAGATTTTCCAATTTTCTTTTATTTAGATAATTTTTCGATTTGCAATTTTTCTAGTTTTCTTTATTACAACTTTTTTATTTTTTGAGTTTTCATAGTTTGAATTGTTCAGTTTTTCGAAGTTAAGTTCTCGATTTTTCTGAGTCTTTTTTGATTTTTCAATTTTTAGACTTTTGTTTGTATTTTTCAATTTTTCAGTTTTTCAATTTTCAATCCTCTAGTTTTCAATATTCAAAAAGTTCTATTTTTTAACTTTTACTTATCAGTTTTTCAAGTTTTCGATTTTGAGTTTCCCTATTTTAAATTTTTCAATTTCAAATTTTGAATTTTAAAATTTTTATATTGTTTAATTTTTCATTTCTTCAATTGAACGATATTGCAATGTTTCGATTTATCAGTTTTACAATTTTTTGATTTTACATTTTTTAGATGTTTTACTGTTCTTTTGTTTAGGTAATTTTTCGAATTGAAATTTTTCTAGTTTTCGATATTACACTTTTTGGATTTTTGGATTTTTCAAATTTTTAAAATTTCAATTTTTCATTTTAAGTTTTACATCTTTCAAATTTTTCGATTTTTATTTTGTAATTTGTTTTTAATTGTTTTCACATTTTACTTATTGGTTTTTTCAATTTTTAGTTTCTTTATTTTTAATTTTTCGCAATTCAGTTGGCTTTTTTAATTTTTCGTATCTCAATTTTACGCTTTTGCAATTTCACACTTTTTCAATTTTATAATTTTTCAATTTCATAATTTCTCTATTTTTCAAATTTTTAGATAATTTAAGTTTTCGTTTCTTCAATGTTTGGATTTTTCAATTTTCTTTTATTTAGGTAATTTTTCGATTTGCAATTTTTCTAATTTTCAATATTACAATTTTTTGATTTTTCGTTTTTTGAATTGTTCAATTTTTAGTTTTACGTCTTCTCAATTTCTCGAATTTTAATTTGTCAATGTTTCTGACTTTTTAGTTAACTCATTTTTCGATTCATATTTTGAGGTTTTACTTATTGAATTTTTTTAAATTTTCGATTTTTTAATCTAACATTTTTTTTGTATTTCAATTTTTCAACTTTCAAATTTTTCAACATTACAATTTTTCAATTTTTAGACATTTATCTAAATTTTCATTTTCCCAATTTTTCGAGTTGCAATTTCTCCAGTTTTCAATATTCTAATTTTCCGATTTTTTAACTTTTACATATTGGTTTTTTCAAATTTTCGAATATAAGTTTCCCTATTTTTAATTTTTCCATTTTCAAATTTTGAGTTTTGAAATTTTTACATTCATTAATTCTTTGCTTCCTCAATTTTACGATCTTGCAATTTTTCGATTTATCAATTTTGCAATTTTTTGTGATCTGTTTCATTTTAAGTTTTGATTCAGTTTCTCGATTTTTAATTTGCGGATTTTTCCAACTTTTCATTTAACTCATTTTTCAATTTTTATTTTCCCTATTTTTAATTTTTCGCTTTTCAGTTTCTCATTTCTTCAATTTTTAGATAATTATTGTCTTAATTTGTTTGCAACTTTGTGATTTTTCGTTTTTTCTATTTTAAGATTTTGAAATTTTTCACTTTTTAGATATTTAAGTTTTCATTTTTTTAATTTTTGGATTTTTCAATTTTCTTTTGTTTAGGTAATTTTTCGATTTGCAATTTTTCTCGTTTTCAACATTACAATTTTTTCATTTTTCGAATTGTTCAATTTTACGATTAAGTTTTACAACTTCTCAATTTCTCGAATTTTAATTTTTCAATTTTTCTGACTTTTCAGTTAACTCATTTTTCGAGTCATTACAATTTTGTGTTTTTACAATTTTTAGGAGTTTTACTTATTGATTTTTTTGAAATTTTCGACTTTTTGGTTTCCCCATTTTTAACTTTTCGGTTTTTTAATTTTTCGTTTTTCCAGTGTTGTGGTTTTTCGTTTAAGAATTTTTAATTTTTCAATTTTTCCAATTTTGAATTTTCAAAACTTTCAATTTTTTAATTTGTTGTTTCTTCAATTTCTTTTTAATTATTCGAGTTGCTATTTCTCTAGCTTTCAATATTCTAATTTTTCGATCTTAAAGTTTTACTTATCGGTTTTTTCAAATATTCGATTTTGATTTTCCCTATTTTTAATTTTTGGATTTTCACATTTTGATATATTAAATTTTTATATTCTTTAATTTTTCGTTTCTTCAAGTTTGTTATTCTCCATTTTTTCGATTTATCAGTTTTACAATTTTTCTATTTTACATTTTTTAGACATTTCAATTTTCTTTTGTTAAGGTAATTTTTCGATGTGCAATTTTTCCAGTTTTCAATATTATAATGTTTTGATTTTTCGAATTTTACAACTTCTCAATTTTTCGATTTTTAATTTGTGAATTTTTCGACTTTTCAGTTAACTGGAATTTCAATTTATATTTTACATTTTCTGTTTTTACAATTTTTAGATCTGTTACTTGTTGTTTAACAATTTTTAATTTTTTAATTTTTCAAATTTTGAATTTTGAAAATTCTCGATTTTTAAATTTTTGGTTTCTTCAATTTAACAATTTTCAGATTTTTCTATTTTTCGAACATTTTAAGTTTTCAGCTTTTCAATTTTCTTCTGTTCAGGGAATTT